CTCCGCGGGGAGCTCCGCGGCCGTGCCGGGGCGAGCCCAGCCGGGCGGGCAGGGCGCGGAGGAACTGTGTGGCCGCGCCTGGGTAACTTCTCTTCAGCCCGGTCCTCCCGTAGGTATTTCTTGAGATGACATCTGGCCATCGCCCTTCCTTAAAGCCTCTCCCTGTGTCCCCCGGCCGGTCCTTTTCCCTGCCTCAGCACAGCCCAGGTTCTTACCTGCCCTCAGCATGTGAGTGCAGAGAATAAAGCAGGAAGAATAAAGCAAGTTTCCCTTGCTGCCCCCCGGCCGGGTGGCTGTACCGCCCTGCCCTCCCCCGGGAGCGGCCAGAGGGCTCTACTCAGGGCTGCTCCCTCCTTCCCTCCTTGGAGGTGCCAAGTCTTAGAGTTTAGATTCTCCCAGAAACAGGAGGCAATAGAAGGCTCCTTTATTTCAAGGGCAGGGGAGAGAGGAGGATGGAGGCAGCTTATTTTTACTATTTTAAAAGCTACTCCTTTCTATGTTCTCTCTGTCCTGTTACTCTGAGAAGCTGTCGGCACAAGCCATACTGACAGCGTCCTAGCAAAAAACGGTCCACGTGAGACTGTGCTGCCTGTGGTGTTTGCAGAAACCAGTGTTACTGGACTGCTCTGGTTGCTCCTAGGTTCCTGAGGACTTGTTAAACTCGTATTACTTGAACCAAGCAACATTTCTGAGCCGCTGTCCAGGCAAGGACCCTCTACTTGGCTAAATGCTGAGACAAGCAATTGTTCTTTTAGTGATTTTCACAAGGATTCATCATACAGATCTCTTCCTGATGGTATTGGTCTCTCGGTCTTCTCTGACATAATGCACCTGCTGGGGGTAGGCAGAATTATTCCCTCCATATCAGAGCACAGGCTCATTTTCATCTTACTGCCTATTACCTGCTCCCTAATGCTTTCTTATGACCTTGGACCACTGCATGGAGATGTTTCATATGTTGGCTGTACTTTCCAAGTGATGTTTCTTATTCCAAACCAGTGTGTCCTTTATTGTTAGTTTTCTACCCTGCCATGGGGTTTGTGGCTTCACACTCCACTACTGCTGATCCCTTTTCCACAGTTGACTAAGGCTTTATGCAGTGCTCACCTGGTTTTGCTGTTCCCCCAAAGCACGAAACTGCTGCTTTCCATTTGCAGTTGCTGCCCCTAGTGCATGTGGCACCAGCTGACTGCCATGCTGCTGCGTGCATCCCAACCCCAGAAGAGGATGCTGCATAGGAAAAATCCTCCGTTTGATCTACTTGGAGCCTGCAGAAGGGCTTGCTCCCCGCAGGAGCCCGTGGGGATTTTGTGGCTCACTCTGGGTCACTTACTGTGCCCTGCTTGCAGACACAGGCTGACACAAGCTGCTGCTCCACCACTGCACACTGCTGGGGCCAGCTCCAGCCTTGCTGCTGCACCTGCTGCCTGCAAATTGCCTAGCCTAAAATCTTCTTTCTTTATCCTTCATTAATTAAAGTTCTTGATCCTTTCACTGAAGAAAAATTGATTTCCTTAATTTCTTTCAGGAGTTTGGATGGCCAGTGGATGCTGGAAGCTGCAGGTAGCAGCCACTATAATCTACTGGTATCTCCTGGGCCACTTATGGGCAGCCCATGTGGCAAAACAGTGCACGGCCAAACCAAACAGGCTTTTTAATTCTTACCTTTGGCCTTACAGCTACAATGATGTGGGGGTGCCCCCCACCGCGCAGGACTGAAGGGAGGGTCAATTCAGTAGCAGGGACAGAGCTCATGTAACAGAAGCACTGTGGAGAAAGCAATAGCTAGTTGCCAGATGCATTTATTTTTCTGTATCCCTTTTTAATACAAGAACATTTCAGTGCTGATTGGCTTTGTCTGATTGCAAAAACCCAGCAGAGCAAACCTGGACTTCTGTTTCCTGGAAGCAAGCTGGAAGATGAGCTGAGCCCCAAGAGTGAGGGTGCTCTGAGCAGCACCCCTCCCTCCTCTGCCCAAGTCTGCCGGGGGGGATTGCACGAGTTGTCTTTTCTCCTTGGGCTGCTGAATTGCTGCCTGGAGCTGACTTTCAGTAGCTGGCAGTGATAAATGGAGACAGTGGTGGTGACAAAAGCCAGGGCTTTCACCCAAGAGTTAGCAGTGGTGAGCCAAATCCTTTCTCTGCCTCTCTCCAGGCAGACATTGCTCTTTTGCAGACCCACTGCAATGAAGACTACAAGTGATGTGAAGACAGTGTGAACAGATACAGATGATAAACATTTTATGCCAGGCTCCAGGGCAATCTTCCCTCTCTCTGTGCCCTCCTTTAGCAGGTTCTGCTTGGGCTGTCAACCTTCAGTGGTTTGGGGTGACTGAGAGCCCGGGGCATTGTGTGCTTGTACTCTACTGCAGCGTGGGCAGTTTTCCTCTGAAATCATCACTATTATTAAGGTGATGAGGAGGTGCCTTCCCTCTGCTCTGCAGGCTGTTGACCAGCCAGCAGTTAGGCAGAGGGCAGCTCCTGGCAAACCCATGCTGCCTTGCTCTCTCTAGCTGCCTGATATTCCTTCAGTGCCAACCTCTGCACAGGCGGCCGCTTGCTCTTGGTGAGCAAAGCACAATTGAGGGAGCAAGGAGGGGTCCTTGTGGATGTCAAACTGAAAAGGAAACAGAGGCGCTTAGAAAAGGAGAGAGAATGGCAGCTCTTGCACAGCTGCATGGAGCTAGCTGCCTCCTGAGAGCCCCACACCACCACCTCACCCACTGCCAGGGAAGATTTGCTGCTGTTGCCCTGGTCACCAAAGGGTCTGTTCGGGCACTGCCGAGTGTGGTCCACTGTGTACTGCAGGCAGCAAGAGTCTGCAGACATATGAAGCTGGAAACACTCCCTCAGAGTCAGCAGGGCGGTGGGGTTTTTTGCAGGAGAAGGATGAGGGCTGGAAAATCTAGTGGGGAGAGGATGGTGCCTTCTGACCTGCAGGAGGCTGCTGAGAAACAAGAGTGCCCCAAGTCTGAGACTGAAAAGGTATTTGGAGGCAGGGATGGCATATGAAAAATTAAAATGTATCCAGCCAAAGACTGAGGGGAAGAGAGTGAGGGAAAAGAGATTGTGGGACCCAAAACCAGCAGCACCTGGAGAAAGTTCTCCACTGGCATTTAAAGACACACAGCAAGCCGAGGCAGGAGGTGTAGGTGCCTTAGGGAGAGAGATGCAAAGCTTGGGAAGGAGCGGGAAGGAAAGCTGGGAGGAATCCCTGTGGGCAGCTGCTGTGGGCAGGGAGGGCGGTACAGTGGGGCCAGTGGGCAGAGAGGTCCCAGAGCTGGCAGGGAGCAGAGAAACCAAACCTGTCCCTGTTCCTCTCTGCAAAGACACCTAGACAATGAGCTGGGACTGATAAATGCTGAGACTGGGCAAATCCATACATTACTCCAAGTATGGCCTCTAGAGCCGCCTGGATGGACTTTGCATGGCCCAGGAGCTGAGGTCTGTATTGGGGAGGAGGGAGCTCCTGCACCAAGCAGAGCCCAGGGCAGGATTTGGTGCCAGAAGCCACTGCCCAGGCCACAGGTGGGAGCTGAAACTCCAAAGGGCAGCCCAGGACAGTTTGCCAGGCAGTGCAATGAATCCCAAGCAACAGACATTTCACACTGGTCAGGAGCACAAGCCTGGTGCAGTGTTTGCAGGCATTGCCTTGCTGTGCCCCTGCCTTCCCTGCCCACCCACAAGCCTTTCTGTGGGCCCTTGCTGTGGGGCAGGGGGGTCCCACCAAGGCAGTGGAGCCTGGAGCAGCTGTGGTCTCAGCCAGCTCAGCTCAGCCAGGCAGATGTGGGTACTGCCATGCTGCCCGCATTGCCCCTGCAGCTCCTGCTGTGCCTGCTGTGTGCTGCTGACTCTACTTGCTGCCCACACCACCTGCCAGGTGCCAGCCAGCCAAGGTCAGCAACAAAAGCTGTCCCTATTCGCAAAAACCCGTTATTGACTTATTCTCCCCTCCCACAAGGTATGGTGTGCCTGGTGCAGGAGATGATGCCGCCTCCCTTCCCTCCCACAGCCCAAGAGCAGCTGTATATAAGCTGCTCCAAAAGCAGCACCTGTCTGTGTGAAAAGAAGCTGTTTCATCACAAAGTTATACCCAAATGAAAACTGTCGCAGTGGGTTTTTCCCCAAATGGTCAGAAGTAATTGCTGGGACTAATAGAGCTGCTGAATTGATGTTGCAGTTCACCAACAGCTCCCTTCAGTCCCTAGGTCTGCTTGCAGGGTAACACTCGAGCAACAATACCAGTCCTTTATTTTCCAGGAAGCTGCGTGGGAACGCAGCACTGGATGGCACAGGTCAAGCTGGGAGGACAAACCTCAGCTGTGGGTCTGTCCCTCCGTCCAGACCCTTCCGTGTGTGCCCCCACTCCAGCCAGGAGCCCTGCCAGCCAGGCACCCTGCTCCTGTCCCTGTGCACCCACCCCAGGCACCCCAGCACCAGCTGCCCCAGCTGTATCCCCACATTTCCACCTTGTGATTTCATGTTGTAATCTGTCCTGGCACTGGCAGCAGCGTCACTGTGCCCAGATGTCTCAGAAAAATACTCCTGTTTGATGGCCCTGAAGCCCATATTTTGGTGGAAAGCAGCAGGGAAACAGGCTTCCCGTCAGCTTAGGGTGCAGCAGTCACAGAGATGAGGGGCTGGCTTTAGGGTGAGAGGCTGGTTCTGGCTCTCTGGCTGGGCAGGGGAGCCCACGCTGGGCTCTCACCAGCTGTGCGGCATCAGAGATGGGCAGGTTGAGGGCAGCTGCCTAAATTGGTGCAAATCGTCTGGAAAAAGATATCCAGGATAGCTCAGCACCTTGCGTACCTCCTCCTTTCAGGCTGCTGAGGTCCTCCTGCCTGGCAGCATCACCATGCCGTGCTCTGGGTAAATTCAGTGCAATGCCTCTGGCCTGGCAAGCCCTCACAGGGCCGATGGCTGGTGCTGGGCTCCTGCGCACCCTGTGCTGCGGGGGAGCTGCCCCCGTGCTGCCGCCAGCTGCCCAGGCTTTCCATCCCCTCCCTTCCACAACCTGGGCTCCCACGATGACCAGGACACCAGGACACCAGGACACCCTGTGCTGGACACAGCGGTTTGGCCAGCTGGGCCGTGTCTCTGGGAGAGCAGGCTGGCTCCCGGGGTACACTCTCCTGCTGCCGGCGGGACCATCCAGGGGCCGTCCTGCACCGCAGGCTTGCTGTGTCACCACTGGGAGTCTTTCCCACACTTTGGCTTGCCGTCTCTTACTCCTACTCAAGCAAATTTGAGGGGTGTGTGCCCCACTTCATTTTTAACACCTCCACTCTAGGGGGTTTCTTCTGCGATGGGTCTTGTGGCAGTGGCACCGCTCCCAAAGTGCAGAGTACAGAGCCCAGGCTTTTTCTGCACGAGTTAAACTGGAAGAAGCCACACTTATAACAGCAGCACACAGGGATATTCCCCCACGGGAGCTGCATCCCTGGCAGTGGTGCAGCATTGCTGTGAGTGAGCTTGGGGGGGTCTACCACCCTCCCTGGCACTGGCCGTACCCCAACTGTCCCACTGCCAGGCAGGCAGTGCAGCAAAGCAGGTTCTGCAAAGCAAAACACCTCCTCCCAATCAGGCTTCCACTAATAAACTGAAGTATTAGCAGCACAGACTTGGTCCTTTTTTTTTTTTTTTTCTTTCTTTCCACTTTATAGTATATATGTTATCATTTAGTTATAGGCAGATCACTTCACTATTTACAGTACATGAGCGTAGAGAGTCTACAGTCTTTTTGATGTAAACAAGTAACTCCGCGGCAGGGGAGTCTGGAAAAAGAAGCCAGTTCTGAAGTATTTACACAATTTAAAATAGAACTTTTATACCCAATGGATAGATATAGATAATACATTGAGCGATTTGGTTAAATTATCTATGAAACTATAGAATCTGACAATGTAAAAATACAAGAAAACGTTCTCTTGTTTTAGAAGGTAGACAGTTAAATCACACTAGAAATAAATCTCTTTTTTAAAAATAATAACAATAATAATAAAGGAAAGGCATAAGAATCCATGCCATCTTTTAAGGTTAAAGTATATTACATAAATAAGGACACAACGTAACGGAACCGGGGAAAAAAATTAAGTGAAATATAAAAAACCACTACCAATTAAAAAAAAATACTAAAAACTTGATTCTTAATCACAGAGGGATCAATTCTGCTACTTTTACTTACTCCACAGGTAGAGAATTGCAGAGTTAAGTAGTACTTACTCAGCACGAGGGAGGCAGAATTGGCCCCTAATAATTATTAGCAGTGTCCTTTTACTTTAAAAATAAAAAGAAGAAAAAGACAGAATTAGCGCTTTTTTATAAATAACAAAGCAGATGTGCCCCTTTTTAGGTGAAATTCTTACACCTTTCTCAAGAAATGCATCAATTTAATCTTTCTCTCTCTTTCTCACATGCATACACACACTCCCTCCCCAACCCAGTATTTACCTCAGCGTGGCTCTCGGCTCGGCGCTGTGGCCGTGGCCATGGCCATGGGCGCTGCGGCCAGGCTGCTGCTGCTGCTCCTGACCCCAGGGTGGGTGAGGGAAGAGGAATGAAACCCAAAGGCTGCATTTGGCTCTATATTGCTTCAGATTGTCAGGGATGGACTGCAACACTTAGAACAGAAAGGGTGTCAAGGCTTAGCTACAAACAATGATGTATCTCAGTATTCAGCATACCTCCAAAAAGAAAGGAAAAAAAAAACAAAACAGAAAAAAAGAAAGAAAAAAAGTGCTGGTCTGCAATTGCAACACTCCTTTGCATGGACCAGTGCTGAAATCAGACACTCAAGACTGTAACGTGGTGACTGAGCTGCTGCTCAATTAAAGATGTGCAGCCCAACCATCTGCGCTGAGTAGGAATCGGGATAAACCTTTTCTCTGGGGCAGCATCAAAACTAAAACCCGGGATTGTCCTGTGCATTCAGCCTAGACACTCAGAAACATTTGCTCCTTCCTGCAGATTCTGCCTGATTCCAGCCAGAAACCCAGAAACCCACCCTGAACAAGTTTTTCTGGGGCAAATCTGTGCAAAAAAGGCAAAGGGACATTTTATCATGAAACTCTTCACATTCAGCATTTCCCCACAGTACCTGCAGGAAACTACTGGGAGACATTCTATAGTCATATATTTTTACAAAAATAAATCTCCTCCTTACTTATTGCCTACCGTAATAAACCCTTTTGCTCCCAATTTCTCTTTGAAGTAGCACTTTTGGCCGCCCTGCAGCCCCAGCCCTCGCAGGGGGTGGGGGGCAGCTTCCTGGAGCTGCCATAGGGTCTGGGATGCAAGACTTCCCTTTTTGGGGTGCCCAGCTCCGAGCTGCACCCATGCCAGGGCACCTGCCACGATGCCAGAGGCTGGACGGGATGTAAAGCTAATCCCTGGGCGGGGACAATCCCCGTCCCTGGCAGCTCCTGCAGAGTGCTGGGTGCCTCTGGCTTCCCCAGCGGCGTGGGCTGCCTCTCCTCACGCAGTGCCCGGGCATCGATAGCTCTGCTCCTGCTCTGCTCCGCCGTTAGCACCCGAAATAGTCACAGGCCACTAAGGGAGTGAGCTCTCACCTGCCCCTTAAGCCAGAGCCCTCCTTCCTGCACCTTTGCAGACTTGAGCACTGCAAGCTAGACACCTTTATATTTAAAAAAAGGAAAAAATTAAAAAAATAAAAATCAAGTGAAAACTTATTTTTCACCACAAATCCTGCGTGAGGGATTCTGAACCCAGCAGACCTGTACTTCTTGAGCTGAACACCCTCCACTCTCACCCAGTCCTAAAAGTTGGGGGAAGCCCCCGGGGCAGGCAGAATGTGCCCCCTGCTTTTCCCTGCTGCAACGATGGGCTGGCAGGTGCAGGCAGGTGCAGAGGGCTGCCCCAGCCACAGTTGTGCCTCTGCTCCTTGCACACCTCTGAGCATAGTGCATAAGTCCTGGAGAAATTTCTTAGGGGAGGAGGGAAAATGAACCGTCCCAATTTAGGGGAGAAAAAAAGAAAAAACCCCAACCCCCAAAAAAACCACCCCCACCCCACTTATAGGCTTTAGGCACCACGAAGACCACTTATTGCATCTCCTCCTACCCTACAGGTGCAGTACTGATCAGCTCTGTGCAGGACAAGCCCTCCCCTTTCCATGCACTGGCCTTGATAACCAGAAGCCAGGCATGGGCAGGGGCTCTGGGATGACCCAGGGGGCCCAGCCGCAGGAATACGATGTGAAATTTTGTATCTGGGTACACCAAAACCAATGCTTGGGAGGCGACTGAGTCATCCCCCAGGAGAGGGGTCCCCTGGCTCTGGAGCCCCCCCAGCTCTGCACTAACCCTTCCCCTCTGCCACGCTTGATGCATCCCCAGCAGGGCCCGGCCGTGGGGGCTCGGTGCCCTCGGCTGAGTGGGAGATGGAAGAATTCCACTTACTTTGCTTTTTTTTGTTGTTTTTTGGATTGATCGTTTTCTGAAAAACATCAGCACAGCACAGGACAGTACTACCCACCCTAAATGTGTCGCTATATACATTCTACATAAGCTCTATAGCAATCACATGTAAACATCATCATTGTGAGGAAATACTAGGACAGAAAAAGGCAAAGCTACAATGAGGCAATTGCCAATAGCAGATGCTCAAGTCTCGGCCAGAGCTGCTCGTGTTTGCTAAGATGGGATGACAAGTGGGGGGAGCTTGTGGCAGGAGAGATGTTGAACCTTGCTGCTGAGACTGAAATGGCACAAGGACTGTTCCCTGACAGTGGTCGTCACCAGCGGCATATTGGGGACCCACAGTTCAAACCCCACAGTGGCCTGTGAGGCCTCACGCTGCCAGGCTGGTTGTCATCAGAACCATGGCTTCCCTGAAAGTAGGGAGAAATAGCCTGGTAACTGTGCTGGTATCAGTGCTGCCAGCAGAGACCAGCTGCACACATGGCCCCAGAGTCAAGGGCCACTGTGGCAGGGCTCAAGCTCTTGGCATCGTATCTCATGCAATTTTGGAGGCTTTGGTGATACTCCCTGCAAGACAAAATAGTACCCACACCAGGGAAATGAGAATAAAACCCCCAAGTCATATCGAGGGAAGACCCCAGAAGACTCTAATCTATCTATTGGCAGAGTTAAGGCTATAATATTCTATCTACAGAGGATGGCTGAATCCCTAGTGGTCTCTGGGTCTGAAAAATAAATGGAGATAAGGGTGATGGCTTGAGGAGCAGCAAGGTTCCTGCTCCCTGGGAAAAAGTGCCTCTGGTCAGCTCGTGGTGAGGTTTGCTCCAGCTGGTGGCAGGATCTCTCCCCCTCCCACCTCAGCTGGAGATGGCGGGCAAGTTTGCAAGAAAATTTCAGGGGGGTGCTGCTTGAGCATGCCTTAAATCCAGCACCGCGGGGCAGCCCTGAGGGCCCTCGGCCAGAGGCAGAGCAGGCAAGCATGCCATGGGGTGCTGGTGGGCATGGAGGACGGATTCTGGGGGCCAACTGGGTGCTGGGGAAGTCTATGGCTTATCAGGTACCAGGCAGAACACGGGCAGGGCGTTGGGTGGGACGGGTGTTTGGTGCACTGCTTGTGCCCTCTCCTGCCTCTCTGAATTTTGGGCTGGCTGCCGGGTGGGGATCACAGATGGGTCTTCTCACCCCGCTTGCTTTGCAGGCAGTGGAAGTGAGCAGGGAGCAAGCTGCTCAGCCTGGCTGGTCTCCTAGACACCTAAGGAGACAGAGAGAAGCAGCTCCCTTACAGGGTCCCAGAGGAACCCATGCCCCAGGCTGTGCTGGCAGGACCCACCGGATGGATTCCCGACCGGCTCCGGCCCCCCGGCCCCTCTCTCCTGTCTCCAAAGGCAGCGGAGGGCCGGAGCAGGCATCAGTCCCACAGCACCGCGGGTAGTGCATCCTTCTACCATCCCTCTCCTTCACGCCTGCAAAGCTGCCTGGCCCCACGGTGAGAATGGCACGGGGCTGGCGTGCCCCACTGCCCGCCGGCTCCATTAGGCACCAAAACCGAGCTCAGTGTCTGGGTGCTGTGACCCAGCTGGGCTGGGGGCTGGGGGGCTTGGGCCATGCAAGCAGGAAGAATGGCTTTGACAGCAAAGTGGGTGACCCCAACGTGACTGCTGAGCACCCTGGTTTGCTGGCGGGGGAGGCAGGTGCCCCTGTGGCTGATGGGTGAATGCCAGCTCCGTGACTCTGCTCTGACCCCCCCCATTTGCTGAGTGGCAAGTGCCTCATTACAGTGCATAGTTAAAAATCAAGGAAGCGGTACAATAAATCTGAATTACAGTACATCTGAGCCATAAATACATTTTTTTAAGTATATACTTTTTTTTTCTCTTCTTCTATTAAAAATTAGTTTATAATCCTGATTCTATTCACAATTAACAATTTCATCATCACACACTACGGACAAAAAAATGTTATGGTGAACACAGCTGCAACTCCGCGGCAGGAGCACGGGGGGTCCAGAAGGGAGGAGAGGGGCTGGGGGCTCCTAGGCTCACCCTAAAACAACCAGTCAGAAGCGGGGGGACTAACGTGTGGCAGTGAGACATCAACACCATGGGGACTCACAGACAGAAGCAGCTTTGTTCAATGTAAACATCGATCGGAAGGGACAGCAGTCTCTCTCTCGTGCGTGCGTGCTCTCGCTCTCTCTCGCTCTCTCTCGCTTTCCATAGACTGAATAATTTCTTTGAAAACGTAAACATATTGGAAGTGCCTTGACTGAGGTATTGAGGTATTCCTCCAAGGTTAAGGCTGTTACCGATGCAGGCTTAGCTGGGCCTCCTGCAGCAAGCTGTCGAAATCCATGGTCTCGTACTTGCTTTTCACTGGAGCTGAGGAGGACTCCTCCGTGCTGCAATCTGGGAAGGGCAGGGACACAAGGCAGCCGGGTCAGGGAATGGCACACAAGCACGCTCGCTGCCTGACAGGGAGGGAAACTGAGGCACGGCAGGGCACTACTCACTCCTCCGCTACTGGCATGCTGCACCCTGGCACTGCAAAGCCAGCCTGGACGTGGTGATGATGGTGAGAGGGAGTGGGGATTGTGCTGTCCCTCCCCGATTGAAGAGCTGTTGGGGAGAGGGGCTGTAGCATTGCCCATCCCGGCAGGTCACACACCACAGATACCTGTTTCCAGGTGCACAAAAATCTGCCGGGTGCAGCTGAATTCTGAGGCGCTGACATGGGGCTGACCCCACGGGAGCCGTGCCGGTTGTGGGGAGGGGAGTACCTGCCTGCAGCGCTCCCCAGCCCTCCATCAGAGCTGAACAAACAGTGCCACCACAAGCCAGGGAAATTCAGCAAATGCCACAAATAAGGCTGCCTAATTTAACAGTAGCTGAACCCTTTTGGGTGTGTATTTTTGAATGAGCCATGAATGGCACAGCTGCATTTCACCTCTGCCCGTGGGCTCCCCATCTCATCCTGTACCAGGATGAGCAGGACTTTAGGAACAAGCTAGGCTGCACAATAAGGGGGTGACTTCTGGCCTTGCAGAAATCTGCAGGTGAGGAGCACTGAAGGGGGTTCTTCTATGCAGGGGGGAAGCTCTGGCCCCCTCCCCACAGCACTGCACACCCATGTGCCAATACCTTCCTCACAGGGTGCTGTTTCCTATCTTCTCTGTGCCCAAAATGAGAGGCCCTGGGATTTATTCAGATGAACAACAGCCATTTGCACACAAAAGCAAAGTCAGAGGGAATGCTGCTTGGAGCAGATGAGAGGTACTGAAAGATCAGGCAGTACTTGTGTCAGACTGGGTGTCATGAGATAAGTCAAGACAGGGCTTTATTTTCTGAGCCTCAGTCTCTCATGCATGAAGTGGGATACTAGAACACTTTACCCCCTGCAGAAGATACAGAAATGAATGTGCAGTGTCTGTGAAACACCAAAGAACACAGCAACAAGGGCTGAGCAAAGCCTAGAACCCATTTCTCTTGCAGGTCTAGCACAGGGTTTCACTCCTGTCCCTTAGCTCAGACTGCAGCCCTACCACCTGTGGAAGGACAGTCCAGCAAGACCCTGGCTAATGCACTCAGTTGAATCTTGCAGAAGCCCACACAGCACAGGAAGAGTTAATGCAACTGCAGCACACTTCAGTCCCATTATTTTGGCTCAAAAGTGCGTGTGCAGTGTGGTGAATCAGCCCTGTGGAGCAGCAAACCACCCAGACTACCTCGTGGGCTAATGAGATGTTGCTGACTGTTCTCTTTAATGACTGGGAAGGGACTTCTCTGCTGGAAACTATCCACTGCTGTGTAGAAATGCAGCAAAGACAGGATGGGCTGTGGTCAGCTGAGACCCAGCAGCCCTGAGGCATGATGCTATGTTTTGCAGCCAACACCCTCTGGGCCCTCACCCTAGCTGCTTTTCTTTTTTCCCCCCCGTTTCCCAAGCCATCTGACTGAGCCAAGAGCAGCTACATGAGCCATAGGAGAGCCAGTGGGCTTTTCCTGCAGGCTCTAAAGAGGTTTAGGATCTTTGCATGACTAGGGTTCAGCAGTGCAGTGTGCCGTTACAGCCCTGTGCTGATAAACGAGATGCTTTAGAAAAAGCAGCTCATGCTTTCTTACCCAAGTCAGCATATCTGGTCCAGAAGAAGTGCCCAAGGCCACCAGAGCTGAGCTGGAACGAAGGCTCGTTCCTCTTCCTTAGCGAGGTGCCGTTTTTCAGAGATAAGGCGGCATGCTCTGAATACCGGTAGGTGATGAAGCCGTATTTATCCCCCCTGAGCAACCAGAGAAAGAATTCAAAATGCGACGGGCCCCACAGTCCCTCTGACACAGCTCTGCTCACCACTGTGCCCCCGGCCCTCCATCTCGTTGTCCCTCCATCTCGCTGTCCTCCATCCCGCTGTCCCTCCATCCTGCTGTCCCTCCATCCCACCAGCCCTCCCTGTGCCCTTGAACCTGGGCACACACTGATCTGATCTCCTCGCCCAAAGCGCTGAGACCATTGGCTCGGCTGACCGATGGGGTTGGCGTGGTGCAGAGTGCTTCACCCCACCAGCGCAACTGCGTCACTCGCACACACACAGTTGGATGCGGGGGTGACCCTGCACCGCCCGGCAGTGCTGATGCTGGCTGGAGAGAGTGGCTGTCTGGAGTCGCTGGAGCCCCGGACCACAGCGCACTCCCCACCCACCTGTTAGTCCTGGACAGGACTTGGCACTCCACGATTTCACCAAACACTTCAAAGCGTTTCTTCAGTTCGCTGGAGCTCATGCTGCTGGAGAGGTTTCTGATATACACCACCCTGCCTTCCCCCTGGCAAATCAAGCAAAGGTTTCAGGCCCCAGGACCCTGTGCCTCTGTGCTGTTGAGGTCGTCAAGGAGCCCCTACAAGTCAGCACTGGGAATGGGGCTGCAGTGGGGCAATACTGCCATGGGCACAGCCTGACATCTCCAGGGTCCAGCTGTCCCCACTCCAGCTAGCTCATGGGTGTCAGCCCCAGGACACCATGGCTGCAGGGGATGGCCATATCCAGGCTGAAGCAGCCACCACCCCCTTCTTCTGTTTTAAATTTCTGCTGCATTCCTGCAGCTTTTTCAGCTTATTCTGGTGAAGATGCTGAGAAATATTCCCACGAATTGCTAGGGGCAAAATTCAACTGCTTTGCAGGAAGAAAATGCCAGAGGGTTCTGTGTGTGTGTGTGCGCACACTCACACACAGCACAACAGCACAAAAGACCAATTTATTTCCCCGCAGGCCCACACGCCCCCAGCTCCCACCCATGGGCACACAGCAGTTCCTGGTGCACGAGGCGGCCTCTGCAGCAGGACTGCATCTGTAACGGCTGAGTAGCTTCAGGGATTCCCCCGCTCAGCCTGCTAACTGCCAATGCCAGCTGTGCTGAAGCATTGTTATAGGATGCTCTGGGCATTTCTGGCCCATGACTCCATGTATTGCCTGTTGCCTGGCGGCTTCTGCTTCATGTTGGGTTGTTCTCTCCCCCCTCCACCCCCATGTCCTTGTTTAACACTGGCCTTGCACCAAGGGATGTTGAAACCAGGGTTAACGGGCTCCACCACTGCTTTTCTGCAGCGGGAGATGAACTGAGGGCTGGGCATTGTTTTGTCCCAACACAAGGTCCCTGCTCACTTACGATGGCCTTTTCCCGTCTCTTCTCCAGCTGGCCCCGGTGCCCACTCCCACCCTGACACTGCTGGCTGTTCTCACACCTGGGAAGCAAGGGAGAGGATGTCAGCCCGGGAGGGTGGGGGGATCCAGCAGGGAAAGCTTCAAACATCAAAGAGAAGCCTGGGCATGTGGTGTCTGCAGCAGCAGGCAGGCACTCCAGAGCACTGGCACCCGAGGAGAGATGGGGGTCCGGAAGCACTGGAAAGGACACTGGAAAGTCCTTTCTGATAGATGCTGGAGGGGGTTTCCAGCTGGCAGCTTGCCCCATCCCAGGCACGGCTCCAGCCCCTGCCCGTGCCCCATCACTCCCAGCGCCATGGAAAACCCTGGCTTCTTTGCCCCAGTGCTGTTTTCTCTGGCCATGGCTGATGTTTGAGCAGCTGCTGACGTAATACCAGTTATTTCAATAGATTTATTTCATTACTTAGCATCTTTATTACTTGGGCCAGCAGAGCAGAAAGAGCCAGGGCTGCCATTCACTGGGGCAAAAACTCAGGGGGCAAGAATGGTCCCAAGTGCCCTCCCCATGGGCCCCCTGTACCTGAAGGTGCGTCTGCTTGCAGGCGATCGGGACCGGCAGCACGAAGACCCCGAGCTGGACCTGCTCCGGGAACAGTAATGCAAACTGGTCCTGGAAAGGGGATTTCTCCGCAGGCACAGCTTGGTGTCACCGTGCTCCTCCTCCTCCTCCTCTTCCTCCTCCTCGTCCTCCTCCTCCACAGGGGAGCCACTCTCACTGCAGCTGTCTTCAAAAACGGTGTCATATTCGGGGGTCTTGCAGAAGACCATGTCCTCGTCCTCAAGAGCACTGTCCAGAAAGCCAAAGTGCTTTGTTAAGCTGGCTCTGATCTCCTGGTCTCTCAGCTGCTTGACGCCGTCCTTCCACAGCATCTCACTGCCTGCCTCCTTGCTGCCCAGGTCCAGCCCCTGGTAGTGGGCGGCCGGGACCCTCCTCTTGTGCTCTGTCTCCACCTGGCCTGGGGGCTCCCACGACTTGAGCACCTTCCTCTGCAGGGCAGCCTCGGGCTTCAGCACCTGGCAGTAGTCGTGGTCCCCGAAGGAGCGGGAGAAAGGCCGCTTGAGCACGCCCTGCTGCTCAGGGAGCGTGGGGCGCCCGGCCGCTCGGCTCAGGTGGGCGAAGAGCTCTGTCCTCTCGGGGTGCTTCCTGGGGGCTTTCCGGGAGGCTGCTGTGTCCCCTCCGCCCCCGGGGATGGGAGCCGTCCCGTCCTCCTTCCCTGGCTCCTGGGGTATGTCTGGCTTGTACAGGTCCTCCTCGGCGGGCTTATACGGTGGAGTGGTGGGTGGTGTGAGACCTGAATCCCCCCCGAACAAAGGGCAGGAGTCAGCTCTGCCCCCGCCGTCCTGCCCCGTCCCATCCCAGCATCTGGGCTGCACCATGCGTTGCAAGGGAGGAGGCTGCTTGGCCCCTGCAGCCTCATCCATCCAGCAGCACTTGGGCAAAAAGGATGCCTGATCCCGGAAAGGATCAGAGGACTCCCCCTTCCCTCCTGACTCATGCAGGGGCCCGCTGAACTGCCCCTCCCATCCCAAACATGTCCCCTCAGCAATGGGGGATGCAGCTTGCCAGCTGCTTGCAGTGCTCGGATGTGGAGGTGAGGCAGCACATGGAAGTGCCCTGTGGAGCAAAGGGGGGTTCCCGGACCAGGTGACGAACACGCCTGCTCAGCTGGGGTTGGCTGGAACCAGCAACTCCAGGCTGAATTTAGGGTAAATCTGCCCCCTCCCAGGGAGGACTTTTGCAAAATTAAAAAATTAAAAGCCTGTCCTACCTGCTGTCCCACACAGCTCCACAGTCAGCATTGGCTCAAAGTTTCTCTTCCCAAAGGTTGAGTCACTGGAGAAGAGCAGAAAATGAGGAGAGAGAAGGTATTTAGGTGAACTGCAGCCCCCCAAACATGAACAGAAGCTGAAAAACGCTGCCTACCAGCGAGCCCTCCCACCATAGCTAATGCCTGATGGAGTAACCCCGTGGAGGGGTGCAAGGGGCAGTGGGATGAGCAGCGTGCCCTCCCTGTCCCAGCCAGAGCTCCAGGACACATTGCCCCTGGCATGCAGAAATGCCCTGTCCTCAGCCCAGGGCTCTCTGAGCTCCTTGCACCTGAGCGATGGCCACAGCTCCCCACAGCCCCGCACCCAGCTGCACAGCTCAGTCTGCTCTGCAAAGGCAGCTTTGCTTGCTCACTGCAGACGCATGCCCAGCCAGACAAACCAAGGCGGCTTTCCAGCCCCAGCGTGGTTTATTTAGCCCCATGCACACTTACGTTTGTGCCAAGGACAGCGTGAGACACCTGGGTGTTTCTGAAAGGCAGGGAGAGAAGCAGCGTTACCAGCGGAGCTGTGCTCCCTCCAGTGCCCACAGTGCCCACGGCAGGACCTGGGGCCCCTCTCCCCACCATGGCCTGGCAGGGGGCTGGGGATCGTAGGCTTTGCCCAACTGGGAGGCAGCAGTGTCTGCAGCAGGGCTAACACTGCCAGGATTGAGCCATTCATGCTCACAAAGCGCTTGCAGATAGCTGTGATTCTGGGGCACCAGTGCAGCTGAACCCCGGCGCCCAGGCACAGGGCGAGCCTGCAGGGAAGAGGGACCCAGAGGGATGGGCAGCCTGGTCCTTGCTGGGTTAGTGCTATACCAACTCCCTTATCTTGTTATAAGGATAGGGAAACTGAGGCAGAAGGCCCCCATGGATTGAAACAGCACCCCAAAACCAGAACAGGCCCCCAACTCCCCATGCATGGGACCCACAGCCAGATGGCACATAGGTCAGGGCCTGGCTGTGCTTGGAGCTCACAGCTTCACTGCCAGCTGAGTGCCAGGCGCCTGGCCAGCAGCACTAGCCCGTGGCAGGGACAGCACCGGCAGTGCCACAGGCAGCATGTGAGCACTGCGGGGGGGCGAGCAGAGTGAGACCCCCCGGCTCCCCTCACCTGCTTGCTCCAGGAGGGCACAGCGCTGGCTCTCAGCCCCGTTGCCCACCTCGCTGTCCCCCGGGGAGCCCAGGGAGAGGGGCTGGGGTTCCACCAGTGGTGCTGTGTCCCCCACCTCCACTTCGGCCGCGGGCTCTTCAGCGGAGAAGCCCTCCAGCACTGGGCACAGTGCAGGCTCTCTGGAGGCCAGTGTGCCACAGCTGTCCCCAGCCTCCTGGGGGACAGAGGGCTCGGGGGGTGGCTCGTCAAGGAAGGAGAGCCAGTGGCCAAGCTCGGGGTTGAGTCTTTTGGACCGGCGGACAGCGTAAACGGGGCTTTCCTGCTTGCGGGCCACCTTCCCTGGGGCTGTGCCCAGGACTCCCGTACGCTTCCCAGCATCATCCTCGAGGCCACACGGCTCTTGCGGTGCATCTGCCTCAGCCCTGGGGCTCTGCCGTGGCTCGCCCTTCTCTGGTGCCATTTTGGCTCTGGATGTGCAGGTCCCAGTGGCATCCTCCCCATCCTGGGCTGGTGGCACAGGGGAGCAGGAGCCAGGCGGCCGTGCCAGGGCGGCGTACACAGGCTTGCTCAGGCGGTATGGCTTGCTCACATCGCACAGCAGGTCTCGTGCCAGCAGCTCCTTCAGGATGGAGAAGGATGCTCCAGGCTTCTTGCAACCTGCGGCTGCCTGCCAGGCACAGCCTGGCCGGCTCTGGGCGCTGCCAGGGAGGCCAGGCTGCCCAGGACAGTCTGGTTTGGCTCTCTTGAAGGGGCTGCTGCAGGGCTGGGGCTTGGCGTCGGCAGCGTCGCGGGTGGGCAGCTTCCGCGGTGGCAGGCAGTAGGTGTGCATGTAGCGGATGAGCTCCACCACCGAGTGCATCTCCCCCTCGCAGGAGAACTGGCTGCTGGAGCCATCCTCTGCTGAGGAGGAGGGGGTCACCGAGTCGCCAGAGCTCAGCGAGTCCTCGCTGGAGTCACTGTCATCCTCGTGATGGGCACAGTCACCTGGGGACAAGTGGTGGCGGCTGCTGGGACACTCCTCAGGTGCCCGGGGGGCTTTGGTCTGGGGGCAGGGGGCAGTGGAGGTGAGGTGCCGGTGCAGCTCAGTGCAGCTGCGGCTCTGCACTTGTGGGACGCTTGCCCTCCTTTCCCGGGGCCCCTCCACCTTTGAAGAGGAGAGAGGAGAAAGTCAGTTCTGAGCCCTCCAGCCACAACCTGATGCAAGTACCAGGCATGGGATGAGAAGCCCCCAGGCTGACAGAGACACCCCACATCCCTGAACACCCCAGTTCCAGGCCATCAGCATCCTGACCTGCCTGGAGGTCAGCCCCATGCCCCAGGGGGGTTCCACGGGCACACGGGGTCGGGAGCCCAACTGCCCCAAGTGCTGCCCCTCCAGCAGCCGGCACGCAGTGATGCTCCTTCTCCCTGGGAGGGATTTGCTGCTCTTCCCAGGCAATCTAATTTGCCGGGCCTAATGCACCGCACAATTGCCATTAGCCAAGTAGAAAAATCTTTGATGGCAACTTCTGCTGGGCTTCAGGAGATTAGCTTAAGTGATGGGGTCAGCTCTGCAGCACGGCATGCAGCTCTCCCTGGCCAATAGCTCCCAGCTTGGGCTGTGAGTCAGCGGGGAGAGGGCAAGGGGGTAGCCAGGGAGTACGTGGGGCTTTCACAAACCAGCGCTCAAGGAAGCTGGGAGGTGCCTGACCCCACTGGATCCAAATGAGGACATTTCTCGGCCCAGCACAAAGCCTGAAGGTTTTGCTGAGCCCAGACTGCAACCCCCATTCAGACAGGGATGGAAGTGCTCTCCCCGTCCACAGCCCCCAGCTCAGAGGCTGCCCATGCTCCCTGACACCATCCTTTGGTGACCTGCTTTAGGATGGCTCCCAAGAGGTGGGTGCTGGACGGGCTCGAGGTCTGCCTGCTGGAGAAGTACCTTTGTGTAGGGCCGTGTGGGTCGGGACTTAGGGGTCCCCAGGCGCCGGGTGCTTCCATCCCGCTGAGCCTCACAGCTTGGAGGCATGTGCGATGGAGAGAGGAGCAACTTCTTCAGCTGCAAAGAGAAACCGCAAGAAAAAGAGTCGGCATCGCAGCAAGGGCAAGAAAAAGCGCTGACAGGGTCACAGCCCCTTGGCTTGTGCCTGCTCTGGGCACATCCATTGCTGATCATTTGACTCAAAAATGGGGGAGGAAAAATAAAAAGGCAGGGAGGCATTTCCACAAGGGCAGCCCTGAGGGGGTTGGGGATGTCTCCACAGCATTCACCCACAGCCCCAAGGACCCCCAAGCAGGTCAGGTGGGTGGGGGCATGAGGGAATTTACTTCCCAGAGGCACCCCCGCTCCGTCAGGCGCACAGGAGCTGTCATGGCATCCAAACTTCCCACTCCATCAATTCTGCCCTTAGATGACACAGACTTTACACTGGCATGAGTGACGGGTTTGGACAGTTCGCCTGGGTCCCCGTGCAAGGCTCATTTAGCTGAAACATCCAGAGAGTGCCTCGACTCACTAATGAGCTTTCAAGGCATTCTGCAGATGCAAGCCCCTGTGGGACCCGCTGAGGATCTTCCCCAACACATTCTGTCAGCCCACGGGCAGTGGGAGTAGGGTTTTCCCTTGGTTACCCACAGTGCCAGCACTTCTGATGGCAAGGTCTGCATGACATTTTTCTTCTACCCAAAACCATTTTTGGTTAGGGGGG